ATGGGTTGAGCAGGACAGAGATCGTGACAATGGGGCAGGTCAGGACAGGGCAAGGTCAAGTTCTGTTGTTCACAGGATTCCTGAGTCGGAGTCCACTCAATGGCACCTAACAACAGCAAAGGAAGTGAGTTTAAAAGATTATCCAAAAGGTGTAGGTTCTTCACTTGTAAACGGCAAAGCTTCTAAGAACCAATAAAGCTATTGAAAAAAACAAACATACAAAACCCCCAAACAACCCACACATGTATATGAGCTTAGTCTATAAATCAGTATTGTTGTTGTTAAGTGCCATCAAGTCGCAGGCGACTCATAGCCACCCTATGAACAAAAGTCCTCGACCCTTGTGTGACTTTCATCCTTTCTCCAGATTCATAGGCAAGCTATTTAAGGAAGTGGATACCACAACTGCTTCCAAGCTTGTTTTAATTGAGAAGCTTCACCAAACACTATGCACCATGGGTAATCCTTAATGCATTTGACACATCAGTGTCACAGTGTTCAGCTTCACAGCAACCACGAGTTACCGCTGTACGGCAAGTGGACACACCAGGGCTATACGACCTCGAAAACTGTTTGACCAAAAACAATTAATACAGGCCTGAGGACCACGGATTAGAGTCACCCACCTTTGGCTTGGTAGCATCACTTTCGGTCCACTAGGCCAACTAAACCAGTATAAAATAATTTAAAAAAAAAAAAGATTCATCCATGTTGAATAGAGAACGAATCACTAATGTAATAATATAACTGTCAGGGAGCTCTGGTGGCCTAGTGGCAAGATGCTGCACTGCAATCCGAGAGGTACACGGTTCAAATTCACCAGGTGTTCTGCCGGAGAAGGAGGGGGCAATCTCCTCCTGTACCAGTCAGATCTGATTTGACAGTACACTTAAAAATAATAAAATAAAAATTAAAAAAATTAAAAACAAAACAACTGGCATGTTCCAAACAGGACAAAAGCCATACATGCTAATTTTATGAGGGAAAGTGAAGACTTTGCACAGGGATTATCATATCAGAAGGGGCTGGTCCCTGAGAAAGACACGACATTTGGTAGATGGGTGAGAGGAAAAGAAGCCTCAACAGAATGGATTGACAACAGCGTGGCGCTCCAGTGGGCTCACAGCAGCTCCCCTGATGACGGTACAGGACCAGGCAGGGACTGACATGAGGCAGACACGAGGACTGACAGCATCTAGACAGATCAGCATCTACCAACAAGAGGCAGAGAGACCCTGGAGCCAATGCAGAGACAGCAGGCTTCGAGAGCAGCCAGCACTCTGAACTTGGATGGGGCAAACTAGAAAAAAGCCATCCCAGAGCAGAGACTGATCTTCTGTAAACGCAGTGGCAGAGTTCGCTGAGGCATCACACACTGATGGCACTTGCTGGAAGTTCACTGTCAAGGGCTGGAGGCAGCGGTGCCCAGGGAGGTGCTATGCAAGCTTCTCATTGCAAGCTATCCAGTGGAAGATGCCAGAGGAGTCACCCATGGAAGAAGTCTAACGGGCAGACCTTCCTCATCGTGCTTCCTCAGGCTTCATGCCCCACCTGCTGGCGTTCTGCTGCGAAGTCCTCTGACAAGGAAGTGTTGAAGGGAAACTGTCACCCCATCCAGCTGCCAAGGACCAGGCTCTCTATAGGAGACCCAAGAGATGAGCTTACCAGACACAAGATGCCCCTTCCTCCTGCAGTGTTCCTCCAGCGCCCTCTGCTGATGCAGTCGAGATTAGACTAGATGGCAATGAACGTGGAGTCCGGCTCTGTTATTACAGGGAGGGCATCGAGAAAGGATGGGTTTAGATCTTTTAGATTAAAAAAATTGATAAATAAAATTAATTATGTATGGGGGAAAATATTTGCTATAAAGACATCAATTCCTGGCATCTAGGATAGATTATTTTCTTTTCTATCTTCTAATCGATCTTTTATTTGCGAAGATTTATTTACATTAAATTATGAAATAATTTAAAGCCAGTCTATTCTATCCTAGAGAAATCAAACACATTGTAAACCAGAAACAGAAGTATGCACCACCCAGATCTGTGAAAGGGTGCTTGTTTTCCCGATGCCGGTCTATAGAATGGAGTTGCATTACTTTACTCCCCTTTTGAACTACTTGATATTTTGAAGATGAGTAGCTGTTTCGTGTCAAATCCAATAAACATGTTACAGATTTCAAAGGTGAAAGGATGATCAGATGAAGAACTTATCTTGTTGAACAGAGAATGTTTCTGGACCTTCCTTTGAGATTTGAAATCCGGTGAAATCAGAACTCTGTGTCGTACTCGACTTTAAGATATCAGATGACAGCTATTTCATCTTTCTGTAATACTTTGAAAGTTTATTAGAAGACGGAAGCATAATTGTGCCTGTGGTTGAAAACTATTACAACATTGGTTATTACCCACAGATTGTGCTTGGGGTGGAAAATGAAGTCCTTTCAAACTCTCTCCGTGCTTAGGTGCCAAGTGGGTGCCGGTAGGTCATACTCCGTCCTGATTACTATTCTCTGACTTTGATTTGTGGACCCAACGATAATGTCCCAAATCCTCTGGCTCCTAGCTCCAAGTCTTGTGACTGATACTGTTACGGACTTGTCTATGAATTTATCCGGTGAGGAAGGACGTGAGGAGGGAGAAAGCCTCTGTGTCTTCGTGACAACAACTGGGCTAATGCCTGTTCTAGCATGTTGTTACATGCTTAACCAACAGCAGTCAAATGCCTTGTAAATCAGAAGTCACCACTGCTGGGAATCAACAACAAAACAAACCCCAAACAAAAACAGCATGGAGGAAGATTCCAGGCTGTGGCTTGCTTCTTTTCTTTCTTTTCTTTTCTTTTTTTTCTTTTCTTTTCTTTTCTTTTCTTTTCTTTCTTTCTTTCTTTCTTTCTTTCTTTCTTTCTTTCTTTCTTTCTTTCTTTCTTTCTTTCTTTCTTTCTTTCTTTCTCTCTCTCTCTCTTTCTTTCTTTCCTTCTTTCTTTTCTTCCCTTTTTTCTTTTCCCTTCTTCCCTTCCTTCCTTCCATCCTTCCCTCCCTCCCTCCTTCCTTTCTCTCACTCTTCTTCTTTTCTCTTCTCTTCTCTTTTTTCCTTTTTTTCCATTTCTTTCTTTATTTCTTCATCCTATTAATCCAATAGATGGATCTTGGCTGAAAGCAGGGAATACCAGAGGAATGTCTATCTGTGTTTCATTGACTATGCAAAGGCATTTGACTGTGTAGATCATAACAAACTATGGCTGACTCTGAGAAGAATGGGAATCCCAGAACACTTCATCGTTCTAATGCGAAACTTATACTTGGACCAGGAGGCAGTCGTCAGAACAGAGCAAGGAAACACTGCATGGTTCAAAATTGGGAAGGGCGTACACAAGGGATGCATCCAATCTCCATACCTCTTCAACCTATATGCAGAACAGATTATCCGGGAGGCTGGGCTCTATGAGGAGGAATGTGGGGTCAATATTGGTGGACGATTTATCAACAATCTGCGTTATGCGGATGACACAGCCCTGCTTGCTGAAACTGAAGAAGACCTGAAGCGCCTGCTGCAGAGGGTCAAGGACTGCAGCCTTCAATATGGATTGAGGCTCAATGTCAAGAAGACAAAGATTCTCACCACTGGACCAACTGGCAGCATCAGGATGGATGGTGAAGAGATTGAGAATGTACACAGCTTTAGCTTGCTTGGCTCCATAGTCAACAGTCTTGGCACCAGCAGCCAGGAAATTAAAAGGCTCATTGCCATGAGAAAGTCTGCTGTTAGGGACCTCTCCAAAGTACTGAAGAGCAATGGTGTCTCTCTGGAGACTAAGGTGTGTCTGATACAGGCCATGGTCTTCACAATCACTTGTTATGCATCAGGGAGTTGGACAATGACCAAGGAGGATAGAAGGAGAATTGATGCCTTTGAGCCGTGGTGCTGGAGAAGAGTATTGAGACTACCACAGACTGCTAGGAAAACAAACAGATTTGTCCTGGAAAGGGTTAAACCGGGTGGCTCCTTGGAGGCAAGGATTCTGAGGCTCCGTCTAACATACTTTGGACATGTTGTGAGGAGAGACCGGTCCTTGGAGAGGGACATCATGCTTGGGAGGGTGGAGGGACAGCGCAGGAGAGGAAGGCCCTCTATGAGGTGGATTGATTCAGTGACTAGGGTAATTGGGATGGGAGTGTCAGAGACAGTGCGATTGGCACAGGACAGAGCGGAGTTTAGGGCTGTTGTACATAGGGTCGCTATGAGTCGCAGGCAACTCGATGGCACATAACAACAACAACAACAACAACAATTTATCCATCCTTTGGGTGCATCCCTTTCCAAGGATCCCTGGTGGCAGAGTGTGTGACCCATCAGACTGCTAACCAAACAGGTCAGGGGCTCAGTTCCACCATACGCTCCACAGGGAAGGCTGGGCAGACTCCCACATTAAAGATTTACAGACTTGGAAACCCAATGCAGGTTTGCTATAAGTTGGAACCTGCTAATTGGTGTTGGGTTTGATGATGGTTTAGACAGCCCCTCTAATGAAGAGACAGGGACAAACGAAAGTGGCCACTTAATGTAAATCCGAGATTCTCAAACACAGAACATGAGCAATCCAACTCAGAATCAATCATTTGCTTCGTAGAAATTGTCACTTCCCCCACTCCTACCCCCTTTCCTGGGTTAGTCCTTTAATCACACTCTGGGAATTCTGGGGATGAGGGCAGGGAATCCTCATTTTGAATGAGTCCTCAAACCTACTATCATCTTCATTGATGGTGGAGAGCCAGGTAAGCAGCACTGACAACAGGCAATTGAGGAGTGGTTAGGTAAGCCCAGGTGTGCTATGCTACCATCAGAAATGGCTGTTCTGTCAGGTTCAGATTTGTTGTCAAACCATCACATCTGACGACTCTTAAAAGAAACTAAGTGAAAGATGAAGAAGTGTGTGTATAACAATGTTCTAAGCTAAGTCTTCAGTTTACAAAATGACTCTCAACTCTCATTAATCTACAGCCTGAATATGCCAATGTTTGCTTTTGGTACATCCCACCAAGCCTCAGGACCATGGAAGAAGGACCCGAATACTGGGAAAAACTTAATTTGGTAAGTAATATGTAAATCGTGCTTTTCTTTGGGGGGGGGGTGACATGAATTCAATACCTATTGTATGTTGATTCTATAAACAATTCTGCATTGATCTGCAGAGCTGATCCCTCACATGTTAAGAAATAATGAAATGCCCATCGGAATGTTGTTTTCATTGGGCAAATTAACACTCTTCACATACAGAGAATGAAAAGGACTGTGCTGTTTAGGAGAGCTTTTAGAGTTGATGCAGTTGTAGGACACAGTGCACTGGAGAAAATGTGGTCTGGGGATGGGCCAGACATTAACCATGTGTGAGGGATGGTTGATCTGTCAACTCTGCCATAGTGCTCTGAGTTTTTACAACTTCACTTGATACAGACTTTTTTTTTTAACACATGCCGCAAATGACGGTAATACATCATTCTAAGCACAGTCGTCAATTTAAAAGTATGTGGCAACGTGTTAAACAAAGCCTAACTATGATGTCCTTTGTGAATGTAGGACTTTCTGTGTTGACCCCTTAATAAAATCCCAACTCTTACCTGCCAAGGAGGCCAGGTGATAAAAGTTAAGGGAGATGCTAGCCGTATCTCTCAGCTGATAGACTAATTGCCACAAGTTTGAAAGTGTTTCCACCCACAGCTGCTAAAAGTGACAATCTACAGTGAGAAGCCGCGGGCTCCTGGGTCTTCTGAACTTCACCTTGCATGCATGCCCTTGCCTGTCAGAATCCTTCTTCCAATCCAGATCACCAAGAAATACAGAGTCTGGTGCATCAACAGTTCTTGATCTCAGTAACATACATTGAAAATTAGCCTTCTGTGGTCCTGACATGTGGAGTGAGAGGTTGTATGCACGTGGCACGCTCAGAGTTAGTCAGCCTTCTTGTCGTTCGCATCATTCTTCCCAAAGTAAGTTCAGCTGCTCGCCCTTATTTGGAAATGTCTTCCGGTTCTCAGTAGAGAAATGGATGAGAATTCTAAGAGATTTTATAGGCCATGGGATTTCCATCTGCCTTTTTGAAGAGAAGGCAAATCTCTTCACTCAGGCAGGTCACACGCATTAACTCAATGCTCCCTCACACTCCACGTTGAAGATACAGGTGTTGAGAGGCTTGTATCTACCTCCAGATCCTGGTAGAGAGTGTGTGTGTGTGTGTGTGTGTGTGTGTGTGTGAGTGAGTGAGAGAGAGAGAGAGAGGAGGGGGACAAATGAGCGAAGAGACAATCACAGGACAGGTAGTAAGTGCGTCATCACGTAGGCCCTCAGCTCACGGTGACGTCAATGCCTGTCTTACAGCATCTCCATGGACAGTTGCTCCTCAAACCATTGTTGTTGAGAGGATTTGCATGCTCTGACTTGTGGAAGCAGTCTTCCAAGGTGACCCTCCTAGCCCATCCAAGTCTTGAAGTTTTACTAAAACATATGCAATCCACTGACAGATAGGAGATGTCTGCACTGAGGTGTGTGGGTCAGGAATCGAACCCTGGTCTCCCCCAGGGAAGGCAGGAATGCTACCACCGCCTGAATAAGTGCTGGAACCAAATCCCAATCCACAGTCATCCTGCAGACTGACTCAGGACAACCCCACTGGCCCGAGGAGAACACCCCCGAAGGATTTCCAAGTCTGCAGATGTTCACGGGAGCAGACTGGCACATGTGCCCTGTGGGGCTGGTGGTTTAAACCACTGACATCTCAGTGGTGGTCCAGTGCTTAACCTACAGCACTACCAGGGCTCGTTGGTGTTGTTTGTTGTTTTTTGGTTGGTTTTTTTTCCCTATTTTTTTTTTTACTTTTTGTTTTGTTTTGTGTTATTTTGTTTTGTTTTTAAGAGTCTGAATTGTTGTCCTAAGATGCCGTCAAGTCAACTGACTCACATAAACCTCATCACCACCAGATTGAAAAACCTTGTCCTAGCCTGAACGGGCCTCCCAAGCTCCTCCGTACTCAGCCCATTGTTGTAATCACCTGCCGGCTGCCTTACTCAGGGTCTTCCTCGCCTCTTGCAACAGCATGTCTTGTTCCAAGAAATGATTCCTCTTGACAACATGCCAGAAGTGTGTGAGACGGAGCTTAGCCATGCTTGCGACCAAGGAGCACTCCACCAAGACAAAAAGTGCCTAGATTATTGCTAAGTATATCTGCTGTGAGGGCAGAGAGAAAGGGCCTCTCCCCCAATCAATGAAAGGAAAACACATCACTGGAGCAGAATCTTGGCTGTTCAGTAGACGTCGGTCAGATGAATATTACAGAGACGGCAATTAGAATGATAGCTTGCAGACCAAAGGGTTCAAGAGTAAGTAGTGGGATTTGTAGAAGCTGAAAGTTTAAAAAGGCAGTGTGGTTAGAAATTAGTTGCAAGCAAGCAGGAGATGACACAGGGCAGATCTTGGGGGGTGTGTGTGGGGGGCTCATTTTCCAGGGCAAGCAGCTGCGAATCGGTGCTAATCTGGGGCGAGGAGGGCGCACAGGGGCCTCCCTGAAAAATCCCACTCTAACTGCAGGTCATTTTCTATGTCTTCATGGTTTATTAAACCTTCTACACTGTAACACTGAGAATGATCAATATATAAATAAATGTCCCACTTCATAGAAATCTGAGGGCAGGTAGCAAAACTGGGGAGAGATGGGTGAAACTGGAGAGGGGCAGGTGAAATGGGGAGGGGTGGGTGATATTAGGGAGGGGCAGGTGACATTGGGAAAGGACGGGTGAAATTGGGGAGCAGGGGTGGGTGAGCCTCCACAGGCCCCTCATTACCCATTTCAGGAAGTTGGCATCTTTCCTGAAATTTATCTTGTGTTTTTGTCACAAGATGCAAATAGGAAAGTGTTTAAGAATACATTGCAAATGATAAATAACCCATAAAAAAGACAGAGGAACTAAAGCACATGACAGTTTAGTGGTGACAATTTCGAGGAACATTCCTTACTGTGGGCAGTACTGACATCCGTGGTGTGGTCCGGGGAAACGGTCAGGGCTGAGGAAGTTGGAATTGCCCATTTCCTCCTGCAGCCGTTTGTAAGAAAGGCAATCAAACGGCAATATTTAAGCTTTATTGACATAATCACGTTGTACAGACACAAATCAACACACCTAGATAGTCAAATTATGCTTGTGGGTATCTTTGACCCATTTTCCCTTTGCTTAGAGAAATGTTCATCTATTCTCAGAAAATTGGAAATTAAGCACGGCCACATAAGCCAAAACAAGATAATGCTGCATAAAGCACTCCTCTCATCTTAACTGGAGATTGAAAATGAATTGAGACATTGTTGTCTGTCCCCAGTGTTTTACCATCATCGTTTCTCATGCAGTTAATAGCCATGGCTCAAAATATCTTCATTTTTAATATGCTTTTCTGACAATTAGAATGAATTTCTACTTCTTTGGTCTAATAAAATATTATTCTAATTGTTATGGTTGATTTTGATTAGTAGACAGATATGCAGGCAAATTATTGTGGCTTTTAGATCCCTTCTTTTTCTTTGTGGGTGTGAGTTTGACAAAAGCGGTGTTGAAGGAGGCATATATATCTATAGCTGATCTATGTGGTTTTATGCTTCCCAAAGTACGAGAATGCAAATATATGATTTATAAGCTGGAGCGTACTTAGAGCACACTTTAATTTGTTTTGGGGGTTATCTCCGATGGAGAATCACAAACAAATAAATAAACCAAATAAGACTTTGCCTCTTCCACACACAATTCAGAAGGGTGTCAGCGGAGGCTGTCAGATTTCGGAATCAGCTCTATGCCGAGTCTTCCTTTCGACAGCAATAGGGGAGAAGGATTAGTAGGTGACAAATCTAGGGGTGGGTGTGACTGTGTGTGAATATGTGTTTGTGTGTGGTTGTTAGTGTGTGCGTCCATGTGCACATACACAAGTATATGCAAGTGTATGTGCTCAAGTCTGATGTCAGTTTTGGAATCATTGTCATCATTCCATAGTCTGATTGCACTGTCATGGTCACTCTGTGATATTGTATCTTTCTCCAAGTTTCAATAGTTTCTCTTTTTTAAGATGTCCTCTATAAAAAGACTCTACTTTCTGGTTTGTTTGGGTTTGGTGGGATTTTTTTCAAGCATTATGGTCTTTTAGGACTTCGTCATCTCGCTGCCCGGATTGCATGCACCTCTTTGCTGGTCCCTCACCCTCTGCTAGCTGCTTTCCCAGTTTATTTACCCTCTGCACAGCCATGCCCCTGGCTCTGCTCCACATGGCCATTCTTCCTGCTAGAAGATCCTGTTTGGCTTCCCACTCCTCACAGACATGGTTTCCAGCCCTGTCATGTCAATGAGCACTGGCTATAACAAAAATTGTTAATATTCCTTTTCTTCTTGTTCTCATTGTTTGCCTTCAAGCAGAGCACGACTCATAGCGACCCTGTGAACAAAAGGCTTCCTGAAGCCCCTCTACAACTCTCGACATTTATCAAAATTCATAGAGTTTCTGGAGACATGTTTAGGAAGGTGATGCCACTCCTGCTTCCTTTTATTCTCCTATCATTTTTTTTTCATTTTTAGAATTTTATTTTAATTGTCATTTTAACAAAAGTTTACAGAAAAGTTAGTTTTTCATTCATTCATTGTTGCACATTTTACTACCTCTCCCTCCCTTCCCCTCCCCAAGCTGACTTTTTTTTTCACTATTTTATTTACAAAATTCTAATACAAATTTGAACAAATTCTTTCAATTTCCCTTACAAAATTCTAATACAAATTTCAACAAATTCTTTCAATTTCCCTTACAAAGTTCTAATACAAATTTCAACAAATTCTTTCAATTTCCCTCACCCCCCCACCCATCAAATTGTATAACCCAATGATTAATCCCCCCTCCCCCTGTACATCCACATTCCTCTGCTTCCAGCCTCTCCCATCCCTCCTGGATCCTATACTCATTCTACAATAACGGTCTTATATTTATCCTTGTGGGACTGAGTTAGTTCACTCAGCATAATGCTCTCCAGTCCCTCCCAAGTTAAACAATAATTTACAAAGTTATTGCTCCTG